TTTGTTAGACTGTGAATGTCAACCGCACATTCAATTGATTGACATTTGGTATCTTGTGAATATGACAGGTGAAGGCGATTGGGGAGGCTGCGAGCAACTTCATACAAGAAGATCTAAAGATGGACTATGTGTATGATTACATGTTTCATGTGCTAAATGAATATGCAAAGCTCTTGAAATTCAAACCAACTATACCTCCCAATGCAGTGGAACTGTGCTCAGAAAAAATGGCATGCCCTGCAACTGGTACATGGAAGAAGTTCATGGTGGAGTCTATGGTGAAGTCTCCAAGTGATGAGCTCCCATGCACTCTGCCTCCTCCATATGATCCTCTGGCTCTCCGCGATTTACTTGAGAGAAAGGCTAACTCAACTAGGCAAGTGGAAGCTTGGGAAAATGAGTATTGGCAAAGTATTGATAAGAAGCAATAGAAGCTTTTTCCATGTATTCCTTAGGCCGTGAATTGTAATTTAATATGTCCTGGAATTGAATGAAGAGATCTGGACACTGGTAAATGACTCTCCACAGGTAAATATCATAAGTTTTACATCAATAAAATCTGACATACATATATTTTAAAATTGAATGTATTGTTGTAAAGAGTATTGTGGAGCCCACACAAAGAAGATAAAGAAAATGATAGTCAAAAGATGAATATGTTGGGGTAAAATCTTGAAGATGCATTCACGGGAGGCCATTCTAATAGCCTATAAATAGGCTTCCCCCTCAGTTGTAATTGACACAACCCGATTCAGAGACAAATTAAGGAGAGAGAGTGTGTGAGAAATTTGAGAGTGTGAGAGCTCAATCTTAGAAGAGTTCTATCAGAAGTAGAAATTTTTGTTAGTGTAAACACCACAAAGAGTAAATATAATTCCACTCCCAATATTTAGTGGTACTTTCCATACCCTGACTATTTTATCAGCACGATAGTCTCTCCCACTTACTTCAAAATTTTCTCAACTCAACATTATATGGTTATTTCTCTTTCTTCTCTCTTTCATATATCTCCTCTCACTTTACTACTATGACGACATGCAAACTTTCTTTTTTGTGTTCTCACAATTTTTATGTTGTTTCATCCATGTTTGTTTAATTTATTTTTTTGTAATGTAATTTGGAATGGTGCGGTTTTATACCCCATCCTGTTATTTTATGGTGGTGTAATTTTCATTACCCATCACATTGTAACATAAATTATCATAATAAAATGATGGTGTGATCTTAAAACCCGTATATTATATCTTGAATAGTGGTGCAGTTATATTGCCTACAAATATAATATATTTTTAGTGGTGGTTTTTATCCCCACATTTACTATGGACGGTTTTCACCTCCTATATTTTTAGTGGTGGTTTTTATCCCAACATTTACTATGGGCGGTTTTCACCTCCTATATTTTTAGTGGTGGTTTTATCCCCACATTTATTTTATTTATTGTATGGTGCAGGTTTATTACCCATACAACATCATTTATTTAAAGTGTGGTGCGGGTTTATCCTCCACACAATTGCCTTTACTTTTTATTTAAAAGTATGGAGCAGAATTAGTGCCCATACAAGCACATTTACTTTATCACACATTTACTTTTATTTAAAGTATGATGCAGAATTAACCCTCATACATCAAGCAATTTACTTTATGGATTTACTTTATCACACGTTTACTTTCATTTAAAGTATGGTGCGGGTTTATCATTCATACCAGCAAATTTATTTATATCACTTTATTTTCATCAGTTAATATACATGAAAAATGAGGGTCTGAAGTTCCTCAAACAATTATGGGGCCTGAAGTTCCTATTAATAAATGGCTTAATGTCCCAGATCTCGAGCCAGAAGTTTCGGGTAAAATATGCAAGATATTTTTGGCCTGAAGTTCAAAAATATATTAAGCCTGAAGTCACGAAATATGTACAGGAAATTATAAAAATGTCCATACTATGAGAATATGTGATTTTGGCCTGAAGTTCAAAATCTAACAGTATTGAGAACCTGAAGTTCCAACAATTAAATGGACAACCCTTAAGATATTATTGCAAATCGTGGTGCTCATTCATATGGCTTGGGTCCAAAGGGCAATCCATCCACGAGCGGCAAAAATGCATCCTGGATTAAGGGGAAAAGCCATGTGCCTAGAAATATTGAAGGTGCTTGTCACATATATGGTGCAAAGGGACATTGGGCGCATACATGTTGTACACCGGACCATTTGGGGGATCTTTATCAATCTCCACATAAGAACAGGAAAGTGAAGACAAATTATATTGATCATGTTATACCAGAAGCCACAGATGGCTCATCGGAAATATTGCGCCTGTTGGACATGACGCATCTGGATATTTCCGATTTTTGTAATTGAAAGAGGGAATAAAGTTTATGGGTCCGAATTAGACTAAATGCACCATTGTATTATCTGAAGTACTATTTTTAATTTTCAATCCAATAAAAGTGGCAATGTTTTTCTTTATATTGAATAATTGTTTATTAATCCAACTTATTTTATTTATTTGAAGGCATGGATATAAATTATGGATGCGCCCAAAGCAAGAGCTCTAGCAAAGATATTTGTCTCGCAGACAGTGCGACTGCTCATACGATCCTTCGAGATTGAAAGTATTTCTCAAACTTGATGCTTACAAAAGCAAAGGTAACAACCATATCAGGTCCTACAGATTTGATTGAAGGCTCAGGAATAGCCCAAGTTATGTTACCAAATGGAACAATACTGTCCATTCAAGATGCCTTGTATTCATCTAACTCCAGAAGGAATCTATTGAGTTTCAAAGATATACGTTTGAATGGCTACCATGTTGAAACAAAGAATGACGAAAACATGGAATATCTTTGCATTACCTCCAGTGATACCCATAAGCGTATATTGGAGAAGCTTTGTGCGCTCTCATCAGGGTTGTACTATACAACCATATGGACAATTGAGGCACATAGTGTCATGGACCAGAAGTCCATTGACTCAAATACTTTTAAGCTTTGGCATGACCGGTTGGGTCATCCTGGATCCACCATGATGCGTAGGATCATCACCAACTCTAAAGGACATCCCTTGTTAACAAAACACATTATGTTATCAAGTGACAGCTCTTGCCAAGCTTGTTCACAAGGGAAGTTAGTGATCAGACCATCACAACCAAAGGTTGATGTTGAATCCCCATCATTTTTACAGAGAATCCAAGGGGACATTTATGGGCCTATTCATCCTCCTTGTGGACCATCTCGGTACTTTATGGTCTTGGTAGATGCATCTACCTGATGGTCACATGTTTGCCTATTGTCCACTCGGAATATGGCATTTGCTAGACTCTTGGCTCAGATAATTAAATTATGAGCCCAATTCCTAGATTATCCCATTAAGTCAATCAGACTCGATAATGCTGGTGAATTTACATCTCAGACTTTTGATGACTACTGCATGTCACTAGGCATTGACATTGAACATCTTGTTCCTCATGTTCATACTCAAAATGGCTGGGCAGAAGCTTTAATTAAGTGTCTTCAATTGATAGCTCTCACTTTGCTAATGCAGACAAAGTTGCCAGTTTTTGCTTGGGGATATGCCATTTTACATGCAGCATCACTTATGCAGTTGAGGCTCGTTGCCAACAATCAATATTCTCCAATACAACTTATGTTGGGTAATCAACCAAACATTTCACATTTAAGAGTTTTTGGTTGTGCGGTATATGTGCCTATGGCACCACCGCAACGTACTAAGATGGGCCCTCAACGCAAATTGGGAATTTATGTTAGTTTTGATTCACCATCTATCATCAGATATTTGGAGCCCCTAACGGGTGATATCTTTACCGCACGGTTTGCGGATTGTCATTTTGATGAGACAAATTTCTCACTATTAGGGGGAGAAAAAAATATGTTCCTAAAGAATAACAAGGCAAACTCATTCCTGAAGAACGACGTGAATTATTGTGGGATGTACTCACTTTGTCTCATCTCGATCCTCATACCGCTCAATGCGAAAACGAAGTGAGAGGGATCGTTCACCTACAAAGTATTGCAAATCAGATGCCAGATGCATTTAATGATGTAACAAAGGTGACAAAATCACATATCCTAGCTGCAAATGCACTTGCAAGTCAGTGGCGGATCCAGGAATTTCCATTCCGGGGGTCAACGTGTAAAAGGTTAAAAAAAATTCTATGCAAAAGAGACCCGTTGAAATGAAACAATAATACTCTAATTCATAGTTAATAGATAAACCCATGCAACATAGTCATGTTCATTATCAAAGAGAACTGCATCAATTTCAAAAAATAAACACACATTGTAATACACCAGAAATATCTCTAAGAATGTGATAATAAACAAAAAAATTAGTGCAATCCTTATCGCCTCCCAAGGCGTCTTGTCTTATTCGACATAAGAACTGGCATATCTTAGTGCAATCCTGCTCATTTTAGGGCATTTACGTCATTTTTTAGGTCCGTCGTAGTTTTGATTTAGGGCTTTATCTGCATTTATTCAGGGTTCTAGCTCTAAAACTTTGGACCTTTATGAGTACTATCTTAGGGGGAGCTTATTCAAGTAAATATTTCTTCAATACGTAAGAGTTAGGTTATTATTGTAAAACTCTTTGTGAATTAAACATCTAAAGCTTTTTACCTAAATTGACCTTAAGTTCCTTCATGCATTCATATCATACATGAAAAACTGTTTTAAGTAAAAATATTGGCTAAGTATGAAAAATGGTTTTTCAAAATAATCATTTTCTCAAGATAATTTTTGGCGGCTTTTATACCTTACACATCAAATAAGAAATTTTGATTTTATGAGATTTTAGTATGAAGTATATATTGACTTAATGAGCCATCATTTTGAGCCTAAATCGTATTTTGCACTAAAACCGAATTTTCATATTTTGATTTGGTTGGAATTTGATTTTTTAGTATTTTTATTTGAATCCAAATGGGGGGTACTTCCTTATTTACATTGTAAACTTAAGTAAATGGAGTAATATAAAAATAAATGAAAGTAAAAGGTAATCTGCCTGCTGTGCTGTGCCCTCTAGAGCATTTCATCAAGTAGTTTAGGGGCAATTTGCAGGGGTCAACATCTTCTCCTCTAATGGTGGATTCCGGGCTTGCAGGGGTCAAATGACCCCTCTAGCCCCTATGTGGATCCGCCCCTGCATGCAAGGATTGATGTCAATAATGGACAAAGCAATGTGGCAGCAAATGGCTCATCTTTTGCACGCCTGAAGCGTGGCAGACCACTAGGCTCAAAGGACTCAGTTCCTCGAAAGAGTGTATTGTGCCCTCTGGAGCATTTCATCAAGCAATTTAGGGGCAATTTGCAGGGGTCAACATCTTCTCCTCTAATGGTGGATTCCGGGCTTGCAGGGGTCAATTGACCCCTCTAGCCCCTATGTGGATCTGGCCCTGCCTACAAGGATTGATGTTCATAATGGACAAAGCAATGTGGCAGCAAATGGCTCACTGTTGCACGCCTGAAGTGTGGTAGACCACTAGGCTCAAAGGACTCAGTTCCTCGAAAGAGAGTGCTGTGCCCTTTGGAGCATTTCATCAAGCGGTTTAGGGGCAATTTGCAGGGGTCAACATCTTCTCCTCTAATGGTGGATTCCGTGCTTGCAGGGGTTAATTAACCCCTCTAGCCCCTATGTGGATCCGGCCCTGCCTGCAAGGATTGATGTTCATAATTGACAAAGTAATGTGGCCGCAAATGGCTCATCTGTTGCACGCCTGAAGCGTGGCAGACCACTGGCTCAAAGGACTCAGTTCCTCGAAAGAGAAAGTTGATGGCCAAAATGAATCCAAATGAAATAAATAGAGAACCCACAATTCATGATTCAAATGCCCCCCAAGAGGGACAGGTACTTCCTGAAAAGGAAAATGTCCTTGGTGAGACAAGTGGCCCTGAAGTGGCAGCTATACCTGAAAGTCAAGAATCTCCATAAATTATACATCCACCAATGAATTGTGGAATAGAAACGAGATGATCGTCGATGATATATTTGCATTCTCAGTGGCTACTGAGATCATAAAATATGATGATATTGAGCCGTGCTTTATTGATGAATGCACACAGAGACAAGATTGGCCTAAGTGGAAAGATGCAATCCAGGCAGAATTAGATTCTTTGGAAAAAAGGAATGTTTTTGGACCTATTGTTCCAACTCCACCCAATGTGAACCCTGTAGGTTACAAGTAGGTATTTACAAGAAAGAGCAATGAGAGAAATGAGATCGTGAGGTATAAAGCGCGACTTGTTGCGCAAGGTTTTTCACAAAGGCCTAAGATTCATTATGTGGAAACATACTCTTCGGTAATGGACGCAATTACGTTCCGTTACTTGATAAACTTGGCGGTTTCAGAAAAACTTGAAATGAGACTTATGGATGTCATTACCGCATATATGTATGGGGAGTTGGATACAGACATTTACATGAAAGTCCCAGAAGGAGTTAAGCTGCCTGAAGCAGCCAGGAATAAACCACGAGCCATATTCTCAATTAAATTGAGGAGATCATTATATGGGTTAAAACAATTTGGGCGAATGTGGTACAATCGTCTCAGCAAGTATTTACTAAAGGAAGGATACACAAATGATCCTATTTGCCCATGTGTGTTATTAAGAAATCAGAGTCTGGATTTGCGATAGTGGCAGTATATGTCGACGACATGAATCTAATTGGAACTCCTGAAGAGCTCCAAAAGACTGCTGATTATCTCAAACGCGAGTTTGAGATGAAAGACCTTGGAAAGACAAAATATTGTCTTGGCTTACAAATTGAGCACAGTGCTAATGGAATTTTGGTGCATCAATCAAATTATACCGAAAAGGTATTAAAGTGGTTTGGCATGGATAAAGCCCATCCACTTAGCACTCCAATGGTCGTTCGGTCGCTTGACACTAAGAAAGATCCATATTGTCCAAAAGGGGATGATGAAATGGTCCTTGGTCCAGAAGTACCATATCTTAGTGCAATAGGTGCTTTAATGTACTTAGCACAATGTACCAAACCTGACATAGCATTTTCAATAAATTTGTTAGGAAGATATAGCTCTGCTCCAACAAGCCGACACTGGACCGGCATCAAACATATTTTACGATATCTTTATGGAACAACAAACATGGGCTTATTCTATTCCAGTGCTGTTGGATATGCTGATGCAGGATACCTCTCTGATCCACATCAAGGACGCTCACAAATTGGGTATGTGTTTACATGTGGAGGGACTGCAATCTCATGGTGCTCAACAAAGCAAACATTGGTAGCCACATCTTCCAATCACTCATAAATACTTGCCCTCCATGGAACCAGTCGAGAATGCGTTTGGTTAAGGTCAGTAATCCATCACATCCGAAGCACATGTGCCCTACCCTCAGCAACGGACACTCCAACTATCCTGTATGAGTATACATTAAGGGTACATCAAGGGTGACAGGACCAAACACATATCACCGAAGTTTTTCTACACGCATGAGCTTCAGAAGAGTTAAGAAATCAAAGTCAGACAAATCCATTCAAGCAATAACTTGGCAGATCTCTTCACTAAGTCTTTGCCCAAGTGCACATTCCAGAAGCTAGTGCATGGCATCGGATTATGACAACTCTGCAAGCAATCAAATTGGAGCATGCAAAATCAGGGGGAGCATTCAAGAGTCCTCTAACACAGGACATAAGTGTGTTGTACTCTTTTTCCTTCGACTAGGGTTTTTCCCACTGGGTTTTCCCTAGCAAGGTTTTAACGAGGCAACATGAGCGCATTATTCTTATGTCCCAAATAAAGTTGTACTCTTTTTCCTTCGCTTAGGTTTTTTCCCACTGGGTTTTTTCAGGCAAGGTTTTAATGAGGCAACCAATCTAGGGATATATGGTCTCCAAGAGGGAGTGTTGTAAAGAGTATTGTGGAGCCCACACAAAGAAGATAAAGAAAATGATAGTCAAAAGATGAATTATGATGTTGGGGTAAAATCTTGAAGATGCATTCACGGGAGGCCATTCTAATTGCCTATAAATTGGCTTCCCCCTCAGTTGTAATTGACACAACCCGATTAAGAGAGAAATTAAGGAGAGAGAGTGTGCGACAAATTTGAGAGTGTGAGAGCTCAATCTTACAAGAGTTCTATTAGAAAAAGAAAACTATGTCAGTGTAAACACCACAAAGAGCAAATATAATTCCACTTCCAATATTTAGTGGTACTTCCCATCCTCTGACTATTTATTTTATAACATGTACCAATTAATGTTTTAAAATTGAATCCAATTAACACTTAAGTACTTACAAGTGAGCCTATATCTTGGGCGTTCACTCTTGAACACTGTTTTAAAAGCAAACAGTTTTCTTAACACTTTCAATTGTTCAGAATTGGAAGTTGTCGCGTTGGGAACTGGGACCAAATGTCCTGGGCGTTCACTCTTGAGCTCCAACGGTCATGTCGTCAATGATTCCCACGCCGAGATTATAGCTCGAAGATCTTTACTGAGGTTTTTATTTGTTGAAATATATTCATTTCATTAGCAAATTTAATTTGTTATATACAAGATTTTAATAAATAAGAAGTTGCTAATTATGTGTGCTTAGTTGAAAAGTACCAATTTTTTTGGGGGGAATTTGCATATGTTAACTATATCTCTACCTTATATTTTCAGTGTATGGTGCTTATTGGTATACTTGGCTTCTCTGGCACTAGGTTCTTCTATGTACAGATTCAGTGTCTTACTGAAGTTTATAGTAAGCAAAAATGATAGCAATGGAAGCACACAATTGCAAATGGTGATGCCAAAAACTTGCTTTTTGAATTGGACCCTAATGGTGATGGCCAAGGAAAATACAAACTGAGGAAGGGTTTGCAATTACACTTGTATATATCACAACTACCATGTCAGTTCTTGTTCATATCCAAGAAAAGAGAGTCCTTTTTTTTCCAGTTTTTTCCTTACTTAGATCTTTATATCTATATCAGGACAAACCAATACTGCGATTATACTTATTCTCCTTTCTTGCAGGTGGGGTTGCATCTCCGAGTTCACTGTTGTCTCCCCCAAAAAACATCTCACCAACAGAACGGGGTTCATCTTTGGACGAGCTTAATGTTTCAATAAATGAAGAGGCTCTGCCAAATACTAATGGTAATTGGATTTTGTACTTGTTCTCTTCTTTGTTCAATATTTGCTAAAAATTTATGTTTCCATTTTTCACCATAATGTGGTGGGTTGAATACTTTTCTAGTGAATGTTGGCAGCTTCTTTTTGAGAAAAGAATCATTACTTTTGACGTGAGATTTGAGTCATGTAGCATCTGTATGTTAACATATTTTCAGGTGATGTTTCACAACTAATTGGTTCGGTTCAAAGAAAGCCTGGTCGTGGTGATACAACTTTAACAGTCACTTGCTCTGACAAGATGGCTCGTTGGAGTTCAAGGTTTGTCATTTGATCTATCATGTACCCAAGATAGGGCTTCATTCAGTCAATCCTGGATATGGAAACTCTGGTCTAAGTACATACCTGGCTTCTTTTGGTCGGGCATCCTTGAATATTTGATGGTGTACCTAGACCGAGCCAGTTTGACTAATCTTCACGATTATATTGGCCGTACTTGGTTACATGGGCATTACTAGTTATAAGTTAGTTGGTGAGGTCATACATATTCTTATTTCAGGAGCTCTGCTTTCATTCTATCTGCAACCTGTTTACCTTTCTTCCATTACTGTTGGACAATCGCCTCATGGCTCTGAAATGGTTCTTGTTGTTGATGTCTTGAAACAAGCGCTGCATGATCGCATTCTACCATTGTCAAATGAGCTAATGAGTCCCTTTCAAGTGAACCAGGTCTGTGAAGTGTGTACTCTGTGATATTGCATTAGAGAAGGTTGATAAGTATGCTCCAACTTTTATTTAGAAATGCATTTTATTACAATTTTGTCATATTGTTTTTATTGTTTGACAGAAAGCGGCTGTTGCAGATTTTCTTGTCCCTAAGACTTGAATGCCCTGCCAAAATCCCAGTCAATCAGATTTCGTATTGAGAAATCAAGGTAGTCAATATTATAGATACTGATTCTGCGGACAACTTTTGGTCAAATTCTATTTATCTAGCTAATAAGTTAATTTTGGGATTTGGTTTACAATGTGATGATGACTAGAGTTCAAGACAGTAAATTATGCACCTGCTAAGTTGTGCAAGTGGTTTATATTTTCAAAGTATACGAGGTCTTTGTGCTTTGATTGACAAAAAGTACTTCAAAACTATGTGTAGGGATTGTGGTTTATGCGTAAATGAAATCTTTTTCGTTGCATTTTTTTAGTACAAGCAGTGTCTTGTGTAGTATCAATATCTGTAGATTTAGCTTCTGCTCAATATCTGCTGGTACAAAATTTATGGATTAGTTATGTAACTACTGGTTCTTAATTAACTAGTAGCAAGGTGTCAACTGGATATGACTTTTCATCTATTAGCTAATTTCACCTGGTTACCTTATGCAGGAAATGGCACAGGAATTCAATTTAACCTCAAAAATTCTAAAAAGAAGACCTCCCTTTAGTAATTGGCTTTTGAAACTCCCACATTTTGAGGCATTCTCTGCCATGATATAGTGAGGCCAGTGGATACTCAGAGTGAATACTCTTGTCTGTGCATATTATGATCTTCATTGTGAAATTAATATGAAAATCGAGTAATACTCTGCACTAATTATTTTGAGCTTTTCAGTATATCAATGTGGTTCGACAAGGACAGTTCCGCCAGCTTCAAGAATATAATATAAAGGGAAGGGTCTGTGTTGGTCTAACAAGGGAACGTGCATTGCTTCACCTGTCGGCTGTCAATGCTTTAAAATGCACCTTTCAGCATATCATCTCTTCATGAAACAAACTGGTAGGAGATTCACAGTTAATGTTTGGGTTTAGTCTGCTAACTAGCAGCAGCTGCACGGGTTTTTTCGTGAGCAAACTTTTAGTGCCACCCTGGATGAAGGTTTGATCCTCTGGTTTTAACTCATGTCGAGAGAGAGAGAGAGAGAGAGCACATAGCATCTGATGCATTTTTTTCATCTCACAATTTAAAAGGTTCTTTGTTGATGTGACCTAAACAGTCTCAAAAACTAAAACCTCGTTGGAATATATATTGTCTCCGAAATGAAGCCCTGCCTTTCATCAGGGGCAGCAGCAGCAGCCAGCACACAATATTAATGCTTCCAAGCATCCAAATTTGCTGGGTAACAATCATTATTCATGAAGATGTATATATATAGATTCAGACTCCGGTCGAATCGAATATTCAACTACACATCCATGTGGGTCTAGCAAAGTTAAACCCTCCATTTTATAAACTTTATCTAACACAAAGATTTGCTGTTAATCAACTATATAGTTCAACCAAGAATCAAGATCCTCTTCTTGTTTTGGCTATTGATCTTGACTTTTAATCCAAAGGAAGCAAGGAATTTTGCACACTGCATTAACGTAATATCTGTGGCCTGCCTGCCGCATGCTTTACTCACATTGAATTCAAGTGATTATTTTGCTGGTTACGTACTACTTACTCTGAACTTCATAAGTCATAAGAAGTCAATCCGTTGACTTACAATTATGCAAGTAATCCGTCCCACACGGCAATTTTTGTGGCCGTGAGCCTAATTTCATCCTCGGTCCCCCCTAGACTGTAGAGAAGTTTCACCCATTAGCAATACCACACAAAGTGTCCAAGCAGCTCAACCAGAGCAGCCTAATCCTTCTACTTGGTTTAAAAAGACTATAGGAAATCTAGAGAAGAAAATTTTGATCACTTTCGTCAATATTGACTCAGTATTACAGGACAGGACAGCAGGGCTATCTCATCTCAAGGTCTCTTGGAAGAGAGCTTTGAAGCATAAATATGAAAAGTTGGAGGCCATTGAAGAAGAGAACTACAACAACTACTCTAATCTTCTTGTTATTGTTGTTGATCTTCTTTGTTGCTGCGTTGGTATCTGGAGGCTGGATCGATGCTGTAAGTTCCATGAACTCCAATCGTGCTAGCTATATATAACGATATAACATAGGCATTCTATCTTCTGTCATAGTGTTTTTGTGTGTGTGTTTTGTTTTGTTTTTCTTAGAGTAAAACTAATAGGACCAAGATTTCAAAAACTATAAATATTTGAATGGGGCTTACCAGTCACCTTGTTCACGATCTCTCTAACAAAGATGAAACTTATGTCTCTTAGTTCCACCTCTATTAGATCGGTGGTCAAATTGTTTTGTTTTAGCTTGAAGGAGAGCATGCCTACATTAAATACGAGGGAGAGCGAGAGTCAAATTTTCGTGACAAGTATGGGGTATGTGAGCAACTAATTAAGTGAGAATTGCCTAAGAATGTGTATACTAAACTGATATTACTAAGAAACGAAGTATTAGTTATCAGAAAAGGAATACAAAGAAAATTTAATGAAATGCAAGTCATATATATCTTTTCATTGCATAGAAAAGTTCTTTGTATCAAAATCTTTCCTTTGATACTAACGTATACAATTCATGTTTTTCTCTCTTAGTTTATATTTTCAGGCTCTTATTTTAAGAAATCAATCACACCAACCACAGACACAAGCACACCCAAGAGACCTGAATTCCCACTGCAGGGTACCAAAGGAATTAATGTGACACAAGCTTGTCCAAGAACTTACCCTACCACACACGACCCAACAAATCCTAGCCGTCCATCCAATCTCACATGCCCATCATACTTCCGATGGATCCACGAAGATCTACGGCCATGGAAAGAGACGGGAATCATGAGGGACATGATAGAGAAGGCCCGTAGGACTGCACATTTTAGGCTCTTCATCGTGGACGGCAAGGCTTACATAGAGAAGTATACACAATCCTTTCAAACTAGGGATATGTTTACGTTATGGGGCATTTTGCAGCTTCTAAGGGTGTATCCCGGTAGATTGCCTGACTTGGAACTCATGTTTAACTGTGGTGATCTGCCCGTCATCCCATCAAAGGACTTTCGGGGCCCGAATGCTTGCCCGCCGCCGTTGTTTCGATACTGCGGGGACGAGGGGAGCTTGGATATTATGTTCCCAGATTGGTCTTTTTGGGGCTGGTAAATATTTGCTTCAGTCTTATACATGTTATGTTTGCATGTGTTTTTGTTTCTTTGTTTACTTTAGGAATCATGTGTTACATATGAATTTGGGTTCTATCAATTCCCAATTTCTAGCCCATTTGAAAAGCAAAGAATTAAAAACTCTGCCCATAAATTGTTTGTATGAGATGTGTGGCCTAAAACTCTTTCTCATCTTCCACCAACTTTGGCCCAAACATTTGAATTGGGAAAAAAAAAAAAAAAAAAAAAAAAAAAAAAAAAAAAAAAAAAAATTAAGAGATTTTAGAAAAAAATAATTTTATTAATGAAATTTGTAGATAGGCTAATTTTAATTTTGGTAGGGTTGAGACCAATATAAAACCATGGAGAAGTCTATTGCCAAGCATAAAAGAAGGCAATAAAAGAACTAAGTGGGAAGACAGGGTGCCCTATGCTTACTGGAAAGGTAACCCAAATGTGGCTCGAACAAGAATGGACCTTCTCAAATGCAATGTCTCGGACAAAAATGACTGGAACACACGTCTATATATTCAGGTGCATCAACTTCTCTAACTATTATTATGTGTAAAATACAATCTTTTTATGTATTCTTTTGTGCAATGTTTTGATCTTCTATTTCCAGAATTGGGTGCAAGAATCTAAACGAGGGTACAAGGATTCAAACCTAGAAAACCAGTGCAAGCACAGGTAGTTTTTGCAATTTTTTTGTTTGTTTTTGTTTTTGAAATTACATTTTACAAATTTAAAATTTCCTTTGTTTTCCTTGTTTATGTATAGAGATTTGGTTTTTACAGGTACAAAATTTATATAGAAGGACGGGCATGGTCTGTAAGTGAAAAATACATCATGGCATGTGATTCTATGACCTTGTATGTAAGGTCTCGCTATCACGATTTCTTCATTCGAGGCATGGAGCCATTGCAGCACTTTTGGCCTATTAGGGACAACAGCAAGTGCACTTCTCTCAAGTTTGCTGTGGAATGGGGCAATAATCACAAAGACAAGGTTAGAACTTTAGCCGTATGCTGAATTTTTTGTTGTTGTTGAACAGTGTGACATGTTTTGTTGTTAAACTATGAATTTCATTTTAGTTTTTCAATCGCACATTCAAATGATTTACATTTGGTATCTCGTGAATATGGCAGGCGAAGGCGATTGGGGAGGCTGCGAACAACTTCATACAAGAAGATCTGAAGATGGACTATGTGTATGATTACATGTTTCATGTGCTAAATGAATATGCGAAGCTCTTGAAATTCAAACCAACTATACCTCCCAATGCAGTGGAACTGTGCTCAGAAAAAATGGCATGCCCTGCAACTGGTACATATAAGAAGTTCATGGTAGAGTCTATGGTGGAGTCTCCAAGTGATGAGCTCCCATGCACTCTGCCTCCTCCGTATGATCCTCTGGCTCTCCGCGATTTTCTTGAGAGAAAGGCTAATTCAACTAGGCAAGTGGAAGCTTGCATATATTTTTAATACATTACATTTTCTTCCTTTTTTTTGTTTTTTTTGTTTTGGGAAATTCACAATTATACTCAATATAAGGGCTCAAAATTTTCTTCCTAAATGAATAATGCTACTCTTACCACATTCTCATACCACCTTATGTGGCAGATGAAGTGGATAACTACATCAATTAAAAAATATCAATAAATCATAAAAGAAAAGAAAATGTTAAATTAATTTTAATTTAATAGATATCAACAATAATAATGTGGGGGACTTTCATTTCATATTGCCTTTATTCCCAAGGTTGGAGAGACTTTACACCTCATAATTCACTTTCTATTAATTTAAAATTTAATCAGCCTTTACCATTACCAATCAATCTATTTAATCTAGAATCAAGATCTTATATGATAATGAAACACCATTAGGGGTTAAAAGCACAGGCAAATAGTATTCTCCACTTTCCAATCATTATTGATTTTTGGTAGATGAGCACTTATTACTACTTGCCTACTTCATGAGACAATTTTGAGTTGCAAGAGGATTGCCAACCTTACAAACAAGAACAAAACTGCTATGAATCCGGACTAAGAGATCCTAAATAAGGGTGTAGCTTTTGTACCATCTTTACTAGTTACTTAGCTGACCACCTCTCTAATACATGTGGATCCCATATAAGTCAGTAAAAGTGGCACAAATAGCATTATTGATCTTTAAATAGCATTAGTCATACTAAAGAGGGGCTCGAGAAATGCTCAAGTAGGAGGATAAATGATATTTCACTTAACAAGAGTTGGAAGCGCTTTTAGCTAACTACAAAACCCTTAACAAGTAAAAGTGCTTCTCACATTAAGTACAAGTCAGTCTTGTTATGGAAAATGGTGAGATTGGGCTCCTTTCTTTTCTTCTTGGGTGCACAAGATTGGCCCAATTCTAGACCCAAAAAATGATTTGGAAGTCCACCCAACCCAAATCCAACCACGTAGTGGTCCGAATGACCCGAAATCGGAGGCGGGAGCCTCTCTTCTCTCACTCACCCCTACCACCACTTTCTGCAGCATGGCGTCGCCGTCCTGCTTCGAAACGCCGTCGTCTGCTCCTTCTTCTTCTTCAAAACTAGAGTGGGGCGAGAAGGTCTCGGACAAGGTGTTCTCACTCTACAACTCTCTTCCCAAGAAAGGCAAGCCTCAGGGTCGCGAAGTCACCGTCTTGGCCGCTTTCCTCGTTTCCTCTCCTTCTCAAGGTCCTACTTTCCTTCGTTCTTTCTTTGCTAAATTTGATTTTCCTGCACTTTCCTGGAAAGAAAACAGTGTTCTTAACACTTTCAATTGTTCAGAATTGGAAGTTGTCGCTTTGGGAACTGGGACCAAATGTCTTGGGCGTTCACTCTTGAGCTCCAACGGTGATGTCGTCAATGATTCCCACGCCGAGATTATAGCTCGAAGATCTTTACTGAGGTTTTTATTTGTTGTTATATATTCATTTCATTAGCAAATTTAATTTGTTTAGTTGCTAATACAAGATTTTAAAAAATAAAAAGTTGCTAATTTACGAGTGCTATGCTTCATGTGGCATGAAATGCATCCAAATTATGTGTGCTTAGCTGAAAAGTACCAATTTTTTTGGGGGGGATTTGCATTTGTTACCTATATCTCTACCTTTTATTTTTAGTGTATGGTGCTTATTGGTATACTTGGCTTCTCTGGCACTAGGTTCTTCTATGCACAGATTCAGTGTCTTACTCAAGTTTATAGTAAGCAAAGTGATAGCAATGGAAGCACACAAACGCAAAATGGTGATGCCAAAAACTTGCTTTTTGAATTGGACCCTAATGGTGAAGGCCAAGGAAAATACAAACTGAGGAAGGGTTTGCAATTACACTTGTACATATCACAACTACCATGTCAGTTCTTGTTCATATCCAAGAAAAGAGAGTCCTTTTTTCTTCGGTTTTTACCCTCCTTAGATCTTTATATCTATATCAGGACAAACCAATACTGCGATTATACTTATTCTCCTTCCTTGCAGGTGGGGTTGCATCTCCGAGTTCACTGTTGTCTCCCCAAAAAAACATCTCACCAACAGAACGGGGTTCATCTTTGGACGAGCTTAATGTTTCAATAAATGAAGAGGCTCTGCCAAATACTAATGGTAATGGGATTTTGTACTTGTCCTCTTCTTTGTTCTATATTTGCTAAAAATTTATGTTTCCATTTTTCACCTTAATGTGGTGGGTTGAATATTTTTCTAGTGAATGTTGGCAGCTTCTTTTTGAGAAAAGAATCATTACTCTTGACATGAGATTTGAGTTATGTAGCATCTGTATGTTACCTTATTTTCAGGTGATGCTTCACAACTAATTGGCTCGGTTCAAAGAAAGCCTGGTCGTGGTGATACGACTTTATCAGTTAGTTGCTCTGACAAGATGGCTCGTTGGAATGTAGTTGGAGTTCAAGGTTTGTCATTTGATCTATCATGTACCCAAGATAGGGCTTCATTCAGGGATATGGAAACTCTGGTCTAAATATATACCTGGCTTCTTTTGGTCGGGCATCCTTGAATGTTTGATGGTGTACCTAGACTGAGCCAGTTTGACTAATCTTCATGATTATATTGGCCGTACTTGGTTACGTGGGCATTACTAGTTATAAGTTAGTTGATGAGGTCATACATATTCTTATTTCAGGAGCTCTGCTTTCATTCTTTCTGCAACCTGTTTACCTTTCTTCCATTACTGTTGGACAATCGCCTCATGGCTCTGAAATGGTTCGTGTGGTTGATCGCTTGAAACAAGCACTGCATGATCGCATTCTACCATTGTCAAATGAGCTAATGAGTCCCTTTCAAGTGAACCAGGTCTGTGAAGTGTGTACTCTTTGATATTGCATCAGAGATGGTTATTATAAATGCATATACTAATGCTACTGGCAGCCACTAATATGGGCAGCTCCAATGCCACCAAAGGAATTTCAGCATTCTGAGACTGCTTTGACCACTTTAACATGCGGGTACTTGTTATTTAATTCTGACAGTTCTACATATAAAGTGACCGTGTATTGTTTGGTTACTACTGATTCCTTAATGCTTTGATTCACAGGTATTCAATTTGTTGGAATAAGGCTGGTTTGCATGAAGTCATTCTTGGAACCACTGGAAGAAAGCAAGGCACCGCTGCCAAAGGAGCACATTATCCGTCTACTGAGTCATCTTTATGCAAGTAGGGTGATAAGTATGGTCCAACTTTTATTTAGAAATGCATTTTATTACAATTTTGTCATATTGTTTTTATTGTTTGACAGAAAGCGGCTGTTGCAGATTTTCTTGTCCCTAAGACATGAATGCCCTGTCAAAATCCCAGTCAATCAGATTTCGTATCGAGAAATCAAGGTAGTCAATATTATAGATACTGATTTTGCGGACAACTTTTGGTCAAATTCTATTTATCTAGCTAATAAGGTAATTTTGGGATTTGGTTTACAATGTGATGACTAGAGTTCTTGACAGTAAATTTTGCACCAGCTAAGTTGTGCAAGTGGTTTATATTTTGGAAGTATAAGAGGTCTTTGTGCTTTGATTGACAAAAAGTACTTCAAAACTATGTGTAGGGATTGTGGTTTATGTGTAAATGAAAGCTTTTTAGTTGCATTTTTTTAGTACAATCAGTGTCTTGTGTAGTATCAGATATCTGTGGATTTAGCTTCTGCTCAACATCTGCTGGTACAAAATTTATGGATTAGTTATGTGACTACTGGTTCTTAATTAACTAGTGGCAAGGTGTCAACTGGATATGACTTTTCATCTATTAGCTAATTTCACCTGGTTACCTTATGCAGGAAATGGCGCAGGAATTCAATTTAACCTCAAAAGTTCTAAAAAGAAGACCTCCCTTTAGTAATTGGCCTCTGAAACTCCCACATTTTGAGGCATTCTCTGCCATGATATAGTGAGGCCAGTGGATACTCAGAGTGAATACTCTGGTCTGTGCATATTGTGATCTTCATTGTGAAATTAATATGGTAATCGAGTAATACTTTGCACTAATTATTTAGAGCTTTTCAGTATATCAATGTGGTTCGACAAGGACAGTTCCGCCAGCTTCAAGGATATAATATAAAGGGAAGGGTCTGAGTTGGTCTAACAAGGGAACATGCATTGCTTCACCTGTCGGCTGTCAATGCTTTAAAATGCACCTTTCAGCATATCATCTCTTCATGAAACAAGCTGGTAGGAGATTCACAGTTAATGGTTCGGTTCAGGTTGCTAACTAGCAGCAGCTGCACGGCTTTTTTCATGAGCCAACTTTTAGTGCCACCCTGGATGAAGGTTTGATCCTCGGGTTTTAACTCATGTTGTTGATAGGAAAACTTCAAGTGGAAGTGTTACTAGGATGGTTATTTGAACATAGAAGAAAAGTCAGACGAACGATACGAATATTATGGAAATAATTTTTCTTTGCCTGCATTGGGTTGTTAATATTAATTAATGAATATATTATTCTCAATTCTGGGACTAATAATGCGCTCCCAGAAGATTGGTTCTTTGTCTCCAATTACGAGTTCCTAGGGGCAAGCACAGGAAGCAAGGAATTTTGCACACTGCATTAACGTAATCTGTGGCAAGCCTTGCCGCATGGTTTACTCACATTGAATTCAATGGATTATGTTGCAGGTTACGTACGACTTACTCTGAGCTTCATAAGTCATTTAACTTTGATAATTCGTTGACTTACTATTAAGCAAATAATCCGTCCCACAGGGCAATTGTTGTGGCCGTGAACCTAATTTCGTCCTCAACCTATCTAGACTGTACACTGACTGTACAGAAGTTTCACCCATTGGCAATAACTCACAAAAGTACAGACCATATGTGTTTCTCCATATAATCACTCCAAAACGAGCTCTTAGTCAGATTGTACGAACCATGAAAGCCTAACTGTAAAAAAGTTGCATTAAAAAGGGTAAAACCCAATTCACGTTTTCCCTTCATCTTCTTCATTTCACGTTAGAGAGCAAGCATATTGCATAAACACAGTGATCGATTATTTGAATGGAAGCAAGCAACTGTTACACTACTGTCCTACCAAAATAAATAAATAATTGAGGAAGCAAAGAATGCATGCAACTCATCAGCTCATCACATCGTTTTCCCCTCCCCTTTAAGCATGCACGTTACAACTCAATCTCATTTCTCTGCAACATTCACTTTAACCGTCACCCAATTTTTTTTTTTACAATGTTCAATTGATCATACTTGTAACTCTCTCTCTCTCTCTCTCTCTCTCTCTCTCTCTCTCTCAACATCCGTATGACTTATGAGGTCTGCAACAAAGTGAAAGTATAATAAATAAAAATAAATAAATAAAAGCCAGAGAGTCACTAAGTCAAAGTAAACGATGTGATTAATTAGTTTTCTACTTAAACTTCAAATTGTAGTCATTGCAACATGTTTGAGTAAATCGAGTAATTCGTCATGGTAACCATATTTTTCCTTTTTAAAAAATATTTTATTTTAAATACATTCAAGTATATGAACACGATTGAGTTTGTCAAAAGAATTAAATTTTCCATTGACTTGGCAATTTTGTATTTAAATGATCAATGACTTTCTTTCTCCCCAAACTCAAAACTAGTGCAAATTGTCCAAGCAGGTCAACTAAAGCAGCCTTACTTGGTGCCTAATCCTTCCACTTGGTTTAAAAAGACTATTGGAAATCTAGAGGAAAAAAATTGATCGCTTTCGTCAATATTATGCGATATTAGGTAATGCTAGAAAAATCATATTTGTGGTAAGTTTAATACAGGTAGTACATATTTTTATATAAGAATATGGTCCTACCATATGTATTGGTAGATAACTTTTGGGCACATTACTCTTTCTAACATAAATAAAAAGACAAACATGCCCTTTACTGTGATAAATTTACCTTCATTCAGTTGTTGTACTTGTCTACAATATACAAAGGTACCCCATTTGGGCCATTTCCAATTTTTGATGCAACACGCAACCCTTGTCGACGAGTGATTATAGAATATTACGGTAGTACGATCATGTGTTACATCTTGTGTAACACCCCGACTCCAAATTTATTCCTATTTTAACTAAATTAAGAGAATTATTAATTTACTCTTGGGTTAAGGGTAATTTTGGTCATTTTCTTATCCAGAAGGATTTTGGGACCACGAGTGGTTTGGTTGCGTAGGTGGTACTGAGACGAAATCGTAGACAGGCGGTAGGCTTGAATCGGAGATTTAATGAAGTTTTGGCGAGCAAAATATGTTCGGTGGCGGAACCGTAAATATTTTGATAAGTTTGGAGTAAAAAACCAGATTTTTCACTTTTACCCCCACATTTTCTCTCTCTCTCCCGCGTACACTCTCTCTCCTCCGTTTCTCTCTCCCCGACACCGATTCCCTCTCTCTTCGATTCTCTCAGTTCCGGCAACGGGAAGAGCCGGCACCGGTTCCGTTCGACTCGTCTCGAAGCTCCGATCACAACCCACCCCATTTCCCCGCCGGAAACCTCGAATCCCGACGTCAGTTTCGACTGGTTCGAACCGGAAGTTTCCGATCGTTGCGCCGCCGCCTCCGTCGTCTGTTTCAAGTAAAGTTGGTGAGTTTTCTTCTTCTTTTTACGTGCTCTAGCTGTTTTTGGGGTTAGATTAGAACGATTTTGAAGTTTGGAAGTTGATTTTGGAAGCTAGGTTTTGGCCGGTTTTCAATTTGAAATTCCGGCCAGTTCCCGTGCGAATTGGACCTCGTGGTAGTTGAATAAAGTGATCCTGACCTTGAGAAGAAGCTAGGGTAGGAAGGGTGAGCGTTGGTGTGGAGATTTTCCGTCGCCGGAAATTCCTCTACACACCCACGCGCTGCCGGCGCGTGTGGCGGCGCGTGGGCAAGGCTGTTGAAGTTGCTTTTTATCCTGATGAGATCAGTAGGTTGTCACGAGTGCATAGGATTTTACGAATCTCAATTTGGATGTCGTTTGACTATCGAACGGATTTCGCATATTGAGCGTTATTCGGGTTCGATAAGTTCTAACCGTCGGATCGTTTCCAAATTGAAGTATGTTGATTTAGGTACTCTTAGAATCCTATAGGAATTCGTGGATCGTGAATCGGAGCCCCGGATGTTCCGATTCAATAATTCGAAGTTTGTGGGATTAACGATAACCGTTGGATGGGAAGTGATTCCCAAACCTGTAACCGGACCTTAGGATATCCTATTGGACGTACACGCACCGGGATCTTGGGGATTTAAGTATTCTCTTTTGTGAATTCCCGTTTCGAAGTGTATTATATTAATCAAGAGTTCGTATCTCGAAATAGGTACTTCGGTCGATCGTTCGCAGCAGGCAGGACCCTCTCGGGGCCGGGCAGCGTGGGATTACCTGTGAGTGGACTTTGTTTTAAGCATATGCATGGTTTTATTGATGAAAGATTTGTGCATATATTTTAAATGGTGATTTTGATTTAATAATCATTTGATTGATGGATTTGAATATTCTTATACATCTTGGCTATATATTTTGAGTATAGATATATGTATTTGAGTATGATGAATATGTTAATATGGATTTTGGGTTGACTATCTATATTGTCTATGTATAGAGTATGAGAGGTTGTTGTGGTGAGATTGTGGAAAGATGTGAATTTGAGGGATGGTTGTGAGATGTATGAGTATGGTAGGTGAGTACCATTCCCTAGTTACTAGGCTTCCCACACACGTCGTTGGCAGTGCCGGTGGGGTGGGAAGGCCATGAGATTGCGGGTCTCACACGTGTCGTTGGCAGTGCCGGTGTGTGAGACACTTTCTATACGTGTCGTTGGCAGTGCCGGCGTATGGGAAGAGTATGTATATTGCTTGAGTATCATCACACACGTCGTTGGCAGTGCCGGTGGGGTGATGATACTGTCTGCGCGCGTAGGACTTGATATGAGATTTGTGAGCTACACGTGTCGTTGGCAGTGCCGGCGTGTGAGCTATGGAGTTCCGTCCCCCGGTTGGACTACTCATCCCTGGACGCGGGTTCTGGTTCGAAAATCCTGCGTACCAGCCAACAATCCCCCGGTTGGATTGTCTTCCCCGGTACATTAGTATGGAGAGAAGTATACGTTACATTATAGATATATATATATATATATAAATATATACTTATATAGGTATACATATGTATGGGTTGGTGAGAGTTGCATACTTGTGGGAATGGAGTTGTGGTTTGAGGTTTTTGAGAGTTGTTGGACTTTGAGATTTTTATATTTGAGTATTTGATTTATGGATGTGGAAACTGCTTGCTTGAGCATTATTTTTACACGGTGGGGTTACTATGTTGTTTTAAATGCAAACTTTATTTTTGTCCACTCACATATTTCCGTTTTGCGCCCCCCAGGCAGTAGTGGCTTTTGGAAGCGTTCGAGCAGTTTGCGAGCTCCAAACATTTCATCCGTAGATAGGATTCGTGTAAATTCCTTCTACTCTGCTGTTGTTGTAAACAAAATCTGTTAGATGCTCTGTTATCGCCCATGTTAGGCTGTTACTTGAGGCCGGAGGCCACTTTACTTTGAATTGTTGTATGTTGAAAGCATGCTGGCAGTTGGGATTTATATTATGTAAATTATGCAGGCTGAATGTTGTTGGGTTTGAGCATCTTACAGGGGAGACTCTGCCAAAATTTTTGGTAGGATGTCTTGGGTTTTTAGTAAGTGGGCCCGGCATCGGTGTGATGTCGGCACCAAAACAGGGTCCGCCCCGGTTTCGGGGGAAATTCCGGGGCGGGTCCTGTCAGCTTGGTATCAGAGCATTAGGTTCATTTTCCTTCGACTTTTGCGCTTTTGCTGCATTGTTGATCCAATGAGTTTATGGTTTCTTTGTGTAGAACCATGTCGACTTGTCGACCAAGAACGCAAGGTCGTGGTCAGAGATGGGGGCCACACATTCTTTCGTAGCAC